TGGGCCACATGAAACCACTTTGTGGACCGCATCTGGCCCCCAGGCCTTGTATTTGACATGTCTGTTCTAGTCCAACCTTGGTAAGGCCACACTTGGAATCCTGCATCCAGTTTTGGTCACCACAATGTAAAAAAGATGTTGAGACTCTAGAAAGAGCGCAGAGAAAAGCAACAAAGATGATCAGGAGACTGGAGGCTAAAACATATAAAGAACGGTTTCTGGAATTGGGTATGTCTAGTTTAATGAAGGACGAGGGGGGACATGATAGCAGAGTTCCAGTATCTCAGGGTCTGCCCCAAAGAAGAGGGAGTCAAGCTATTCTCCAAAGAAGGCAGGACAAGAAGCAACGGATGGAAACTGACCAAGGAGAGGAGCAACCTAGAACTAAGGAGAAATTCCTTGACAGTGAGAACAATTAACCAGTGGAACAACCTGCCTCCAGAAGCGGTGAATGCTCCAACACTGGGAGTTTTTAAGAAGAGACTGGACAGCCATTTGTCTGAAATGGTATAGGGTTTCCTGCCTATGCAGGGGGTTGGACTAGAAGACCTCCAAGGTCCCTTCCAACATTATTATTATTATTATTATTATCATTCATCGCACAGTCAGCCAGATGTTCAGACTGGATTTGGCATTTTGTCTACCTATCGAGTCCTTACCCAGGACCTGGGATAGGCAGATGTGGATGTTTGATGGTATTACAGGTATCGTCGCAGGATGGAAGCAGTTCCTAATAAGGCCGCCTTTTGCAATTGACTAATAGCGAATTTGTCAATGCCAATGGTGTTCAAGTGGTGCTCCAGTTGTTTTGGGATTGCACCCAAGGAGCCTATGACTATTGGTACTACCCTTGCTTGCTTTTGCCACAGTCTTTCTATTTCTATTTGTAGGTCTTTGTATTTTGTTATCTTCTCCAGTTCTTTCTCTTCTATTCTGCTATCTCCAGGCACTGCCACATCCACTATCCAGACTTTTTTGTCTTTCTTATGGACAATTGTTAAGTCTGGGGTGTTATGTTGCAGGTGCTTGTCTGTTTGAATTCTGAAGTCCCAGAGCAGTTTAATTTTATCATTTTCTATGACTTTCTCTATTTTATGATCCCACCAGTTTTTGCTTACAGGCAAATGATATTTTTTGCAGATCTTCCAATGCACCATTGTTGCTACTTTGTCATGCCGCTGCTTGTAATCAGTCTGTGCAATCTTCTTGCAACAGCTTACCAAGTGGTCCACTGTTTCTTCAGCTTCTTTGCATAGGCGGCACTTACTGTCTGTTGCTGTCTTCTCAATTTTGACTTTGTATGCATTTGTCCTTAAGGCTTGGTCTTGTGCAGCCAGAATTAGTCCCTCGGTCTCTTTCTTCAATTTTCCTGCTCTTAGCCATTGCCAGGTTTTATTATTATCTGCTTTCCCAGCTATTTTTTTCATGTATTGGCCATGTAGTGCTTTGTCTTCCCATGCCTCTATTCTGTTCTTCATTTGGTCTTTCTTGTAGGCCAGTTTGGTCTCTCCAGTAGTTAGTAAGCCTTCCTGATATACTAATTTCAGTGCATCTTCATCATTGTTCTTCAGATATTCTTCCAAAGTCATTTTTTCTTCTTCAACCATCTGATGTACTTGTAGCATTCCACGCCCACCTATTTGCCTTGGTAGATAAAGTCTATCAATGTCACTGCGTGGATGAAGGGCGTGATTCATTGTCATTATTTTTCTGGTCTGCCTATCCATTGCTTTTAGTTCTGCTTGAGTCCAGTCCACTATTCCAGCTGTGTACCTAATGACTGGGATTGCCCAGGTGTTGATTGCCTTTATGGTATTTCCTCCATTGAGTTTGGATTTTAAGATCTTCTTCACTCTCTTGATGTATTCACCTCTAATCTTTTTCTTGACTTCAGTGTGCTTGATGTTGTCAGCTTGAAGGATACCCAAGTATTTGTAGTACTCTTCCTCATCCAGACTCTTAATGTTATTTTCGTGGGGCATCTTGATTCCTTCAGTTTTCACTATTTTTCCTTGTTTGATAGTAAGTGTGGCACATTTGTCCAAGCCAAACTCCATTACAATATCTTGGCTATATATACGGACAGTGTTGAGCAGCGATTCTATTTCAGATGATGTTTTTCCATACAGCTTCAGATCATCCATGTAAAGGAGGTGGGATAGTCTAGCAGATGTTTTTGATGTTTGATAGCCATGTCCTGAGTTATTCAGTATTGTTGACAGAGGAAACAGTGCAATAACAAATAGTAATGGTGATAATGAATCTCCTTGAAATATTCCTCTCTTGATATTAACCTCTCCCAGCTTCTCACCATTGATCTGCAACTGTGTCTTCCATTGTGCCATCGATCTTTGCACAAATTTTCTGATGTTTCTACTGACTCCTGTTATTTCTAGGCACTTGATTATCCAATCATGTGGCAGAGAGTCAAATGCCTTTTTGTAGTCAATCCATGCTACATTCAGGTTGGTCTTCCTTCTCTTGCAGTTTTCCAAGATCATTTTGTCTATTAGGAGTTGATCTTTTGTTCCTCTGCTATTGGGGCGGTTTCCTTTCTGCTCAGGTGGAAAGAGATTGTTTTCAACTAGATGCTGTTGTACTGCATCAGCTACCACACCAGTTAGTAATTTGAATGTTGTTGGCAAGCAGGTAATTGGCCTGTAGTTACCTGGTGTTGCCCCTTTTGCTGGATTTTTCATTATTAGGTAGGTTTTCCCAGTTGTTAGCCACTTTTCAATTTCTCCTCCTTGTAGTATATTGTTGAACTGCTTGGCAATGAGTGGGTGTATAACAGTTAGATGTTTCAACCAAAACCCATGCAGTTCATCTTCACCTGGTGCTGACCAATTTTTGATTTTCTTTGCTCTTTTTTCTACCATTTTTGTTGTTATTACTAGTTCTTTCATTTCAACTTCTGTTTTATTTGCATCCACCTCTTTTAACCAAGCCGCATCCTTGTTGTATTTCTTTGGGTTATCCCATATCTGCTTCCAGAACTGCACTGTTTCTTCCTTGTCAGGTACTGACTGATTCCTTGCAGTTTCTCCATTGATGGATTGGTAGAAACGTTTCTGATTGGATTGAAATTGGAGGTTCTGCCTATAGTTTGCAATTCGAGCTTCATATCTACTGATTTTCCTGGCTATAGCTGTTATTTGTTGCTTTATTATTTCCAGTGCTTCCTTGATCTTCCTTGTTTCTAAGTGGTATTTCTTGATTAGGTATTCTTTGGTCTTCTTGTTCTTCAGCTTCTTTTCTTTCATCTGTTCTAGCTTGCTTGCATGTGATCTTAACTTGCTGATCTTATTTTCTAGTCTAACCTTCCATTTTTCTGGTGCACTGTTTGTTTGTTTTTCTTCTTTGTTGATTTTGCATCCCAGGTATTCTGTTATAACTGCAGCTGTGCTGTACATTAGTTGGTTTGTTTCTTGCAGTGAATTGGTGCTTATACTTGATATTGCAGTATTTGCATCTTTTAATGCTTGTGCTAGCTGTTTCTTTGGAACAAGCTTCAATGCAGGCAGCCTTATTCTGTTGTTTTTGTGCTGTTCTAGATGCTCAGTTATTCTTTGTTTCAATTCTTTTATTTCTTTAGTTAGAGGGTTTTGTTCTTCCTGAGGAAGAGGTGCCTGGTTTCCAAATGAGAACAGTTGTATATCTCTACTGGATTCTTTCACTGCCAACTCCCCCTGGTTTGCCTCTACATTCTGAATTACTTCTTGTAAGGCTTTGATTTCTTTGCCCTGGGTAAACCTTTGCAGTTCGTCCAATTCTGTTTCTGTGAATACTTTATTTCGTGTTATAAATCGGCGTTGATCTGCTAGTCTCTGTTCTGTTATTTCTGATTCTGGATGCTGTTCTTTCCAGAATTGGTGCATTCGTTTTAGATATCCTCGTCTTGTTGGACTTGATCTGTAGTAACAGATCATTATTTCTTTGTTTTCCATCACTGTGTATCTGCGACGGGTAAACACCTTTTCTTCCAGTAGTTCTGCAGCTGCTGGCCCTGGTTGCTCAGCCAACAGTCCTGAGTCCTGTAACCCATTTTTCACCAGATATCCAGGAACTCCAATATCTAGTGCGGACCTTGTTAACCCGGGCGACGTCCGAGCCGGTATGGCATTCTGAAATTTACGTCTCACCATATTTTTTATGGGAGAGACACTCTTTGTCTGACTCCTCTGATGAGACCTGTCCAGTATGGTTGAACCTCTGGCATAGCTCTCATCTTCCTCAGAGTACACAAGCCCCACAACCACGTCAAGGTAGTGCCTCACTGGGGGTCAAGGTATTGCCTCACTGGGGGGTTATTATTATTATTATTATTATTATTATTATTATTATACCTCCTGTTCAAGTGTATCATTCTGAACAAATAGCTGTCCAAATATCTTCTTCAAAACGTCCACAATTTCTGAAGGCAAGTCGTTCCACTGATTAATTGTTCTCACAGTTGGGAAATTTCTCCTTGGTTCTAGGTTGCTCTTCTCCTTGATTAGTTTCCATCCGTTGATTCTTCTGCCTTCAGGTGCTTTGGAGAATAGGTTGACCCCCCCCCCCTTCTTTGTGGCAGCCCCTCAAATACTGGAACACTGCCTTGTCCTTCATGTCACCTCTTTGTCCTTCTTTTCACTAGACTAGACATACACAATTCCTGTAGCCTGTTTTCCAAAGCACCAGAAGGCAAAACAAGAAACAACGGATGGAAACTAATCAAGGAGAGAAGAAACCTGGAATTAAGGAGGAACTTTCTGACAATGAGAACAACTAATGAATGGAACAATTTGCCTCCAGAAGTCGTGGGGGCTCCATCACTGGAGGTTTTTAAGAAGAGACTGGATAGCCAGTTGTCTGAAATGGTGTAGGGTCTCCTGCTTGATCAGGAGTTGGATTAGAAGACTACTACGGTCCTTTCCAGATCTATTTCTGATGCGACACGTCCCACTTCTTAATCCTGAGAAGCTTTCTGTTCTCATCCCCACGGTCACTTTTGCTTGCAGAAAAACGCCTGTTTCCTACCAGAAGATCTGAAAAATTTTTACCTCATGATGGACGGTTTCCAAATGACCTGGAGCGTCAAGTTTGATGGTAAGGCTCTCCGGCCCTGTCTTGATCCCTGGTTATTGACCTATTTCAGCCTTATCCTAGATCAGGGGTGGGCAACCTCGGCGCTTTTATGACTCGTGGACTTCAACTCCCAGAATTCCTGAGTCAGCATAGCTGACGTCTGGGAGTTGAAGTCCACGAGTCATAAAAGCGCCGAAGTTGCCTACTCCTGTCCTAGATGGATCGCTGGAGGTTTTCAAGAAAGGATTGGACGGTCCATTGTCCAGGATGGGAGAACAATTCTTGCTTGGGCAGTGGGCTGGACTAGAAGACCTCCAAAGGTCCCTATCAGCCCTTTGATTTGGGGATTCTAATTCAAGGAAGGATGTTTCTGACCCCAAACGGGGGAGGATTATAGCCAGTCCTCGAATTACGACTGTAATGGAGTCTGCTCGCTATGGCCGTCAGCCGTGACAGTTCTAAAGCAAGCCGTCATGTGACAGACCTGATTACAGATAGTCCTCAACTTACAACCATTCGTTTAGTGACCATTGGAAATTGCAACAACGCTGGAAAAAAGCGACTTGTGACCGTGTTTCACACTTAACGACCGTTGCAGCATGCCCAGGGCTGCATGATCAAAATTCAGACGCTTGCCAGCTGGTTCATACTTACGACGGTTGCCGGGTCTCCCTGGGTCACGCGATCCCCTTTCGCGACCTTCCGACAAGCAACGCCAACAGGGAAGCCAGATTCGCTTAATGACGGTATGCTAACTTGACAACTGCAGCGATTCGCTTAATGACGGTGGCAAGGAAGGTCGTAAAATGGGACAAGACTCACTTCACAAATGTCTCGCTTAGCAATGGACGTTTTGGCCTTATTTCCTGGTCTAAGTCGAGCACTAACCTTCCTGCGATATTTTTGTTGCTGCAGCCATTAAGCAAATTGCCATGGTCGTTAATTGAGTCCACAGTTGCTTAGCAACTCACGTCCATGGTGATGCGCTTAACGACTGCCGCAAAACAGCAGGTGTAGTAAGGTCGGGAACACGATGAGTACTTTGTTAAGCAATCCCATTGTTTACTGCGGGGTATTTTTGCAGAAAACCAGAAGTAAGCGCCATTATTATGTTTTGCAAAAACAGCATAAATTGTGGTCATGTGACTGTAGGAAACAACCTACAAACCACCATAAATGCAAATACATTTCACATGACAGTAACAGGCCTCAAATCACCCATCCAGATTTCATGCTTAAGGTAGGACTCGAACTCACTGTCTCCTGGTGATTGGCCCAAAGTCATCCAACCGGCTTTAAGTGCCTATAGCGGGGCTAGAACTCACCGTCTCCTGGTGATTGGCCCTTTATAACTTCAGAAGTGGGTCGTAAGTACCTTTGGGGGGGGGTCCATCATAGTTTACTACGCAACTGGTCATAAGATGAGTAGTTCTGCTTCTTTGGGTTCAGTTCGTGCTCTCCTCGTTTTATTTTTGAGAAAATGCAACCCATTCAGCAGTGAAATAAAGCCCAGAGGACTGTTAACAGTGTTGAGATTTTTTTAAAAAAATATATTAGATTTAAGGTTTGGGCGTAGCGTATTGTGTGAACCAGGTTCTTTTCTCTTCCAGATAACCCTGTTTCCCTGGGCTGTATGACGATTAACAGCATCTCCAAGCTAACCCGTCTCAGCGTTTCACCCGCGTACGCTTTGCCCAGTGCGCCAACCCTGGCTGATCTGGAAGACTCTGATGAGGAGGAAGGTACACACACAAAGACATACACACACAAAAAAAAAAAAACCAGAGAGAGAGAGAAAGAGAGAGGGGAAAGAAAGAAAGAAAGAAAGAAAGAAAGAAAGAAAGAAAGAAAGAAAGAAAGAAAGAAAGAAAGAAAGAAAGAAAGAAAGAAAGAAAGAAAGAAAGAGAAAGAAAGAAAGATTACTATTGCTTATCTGATTATAAGATCCTCTCTCCCTTCCTCTTTGCTTCTCCGACACGAAGATCAAAAGCTGTTTCGGACAGACTTTATTTATTATTATTATTTATTAGATGTTTATCCCGCTTTTATTATTTTTATAAATGCCTCCAAAAGCAGAGCAAGAAGCAATAGATAGAAGCCAATCAAGGAGAGAAGCAAACTGGAATTAAGGAGAAACTTTCTAACAGTGAGAACAATTAACCAAGTGGAACCGCTGGCCTTTGGAAGCTGTGGGTGCTCCATCACTGGAGGTCTTTGAGACTGGACAGCCAGCTGCCTGAAATGGTACAGGGTCTCCTGCTTGAGCAGGGGGTTGGGCTAGGAAGGTCCCCAACCTTTGGGGCACCAGGGACCGGTTCCACGGAGAGAGGTTTTTCCGCGGACCGGAGGGTGCGTGGTTTTGTGTGCTGCCTTCATCCCACGGATGGGGCTTTGCTTGTTTGTGTGGACCAGTTGCTGGCATGCCGCAGCCCAGTACTGGTCCACGGACCGGGGGTTGGGGACCCCTGGATTAGAAGACCTCCAAGGTCCCTCTGTTATTCTGTATTCTATTTTTTTTTTCTGCCATCTTTTTTACTACCCAGATCTCAATAAGATGCAATTCTGGAATTCTTAGCTGGCTGAGGAATTCTGGGAGTTGAAGTCCACAGAACTTCAACTCCCAGAAAGGAGTTGAAGTTCTGTGAAGGAAATGATTGGTCCATTAGTGGGTGGAAGTGGCAAGAAGGTGACAAGCAACAGGGAGAAAGCAGAATTATTTAACTCATTTTTTGCATCTGTCTTTACACAAAGGGAAAAAACAGACCAACCTATCAAAAATAGTGCCATAAAAAATAAAATAGAAACACAAGTTAAGATAGGCAAGAAAATGGTAAGGGAGCACCTGTCTAGCCTAGATGAGTTCAAATCGCCAGGACCAGATGGATTACACCCCAAGGTTCTCAAGGAACTGGCAGATGTGATATCAGAACCATTGAACTATATTTTTCAAAGATCCTGGAGCACTGGGGAACTACCAGAGGACTGGAAAACAGCTGATGTAGTTCCCATCCTCAAAAAAGGAAAAAAAATGGATCCAGGAAATTACAGACCTATCAGCCTGACCTCAATACCTGGGAAGATCCTGGAAAAGATAATCAAACAACGAATCAACGAACACCTAGAGGCAAACAAAGTCATTACTAAAAGCCAACATGGGTTTGTCAAAAATAGATCATGCCAGACAAATCTTATTGCATTCTTTGACCAAGTGACAAAATTAGTGGATCAGAGGAATGCTGTAGACATAATTTACTTGGACTTCAGTAAGGCATTTGATAAAGTAGATCACAACCTACTACTTGATAAGATAGAAAAATGACAGCCATTTGTCCGAAATGGTGTAGGGTTTCCTGCCTGAGCAGGGGGTTGGACTAGATGACCTCCAAGGTCCCTTCCAACTTATTTTTTGTTGTTGTTGTTGTTGTTGTTGTTATTATAAGTCTTAAAGGTGCCAAGGTTGGAGACCCCCATTCTAGTCCAACCCCCTGCTCACGCAGGAGACCCTGTACTATTTCAGACAAGTGGCTGTCCAGTCTCTTCTCGAAAACCTCCAGTGATGGAGCACCCACAACTTCTGGAGGCAGGTCGTTCCCCTGGTTAATTGTTCTCACTGTCAGGGAATTTCTCCCTGATTCCTGCCATGGGAAGGAATTTGTCTGTTCTCTTGGCTGTTCCTTCCACAGGTAACAAGGAACAACCAAAGAGGCCTCACCTGGACTCCCGATCTCTGATCTTCGAATTAGATTCCTGTTCAGGCAACGGGAAAGTCTGCCTGGTCTACAAGAACACCAAGCCGGGTATGTGGCTAATCCGAATCTCAACCTGCCACGTGAGCGTAATTATTCACTGTTTGTAGACCACGGTTTCTGAGTTTCAGCATTGGATGAACCCCACCATTGCTCACCTAAGCCTCCAATCACGGCTTAGGGCTGTTTCAGAACCCCATCAATGACTTGGCAGTTGTAGAAAAGTCAGAAATAGCACGGCAGTGAGAAGAACCCTTGTTTATTTCAACCGTCATTGGGGCCCACTTGACAAAGAGGGTTCCCAAACAGTGGGGAAGCCAAGTTTTTTTATAGCTGTTGAAGGAAGCAAGATGGGAAATTCTAGCGTTCTGATTGGCTCGCCAGTTTTGGGGAAGGTAGACACGTCCCTAGTGAGTGAGTGAGTTAGTAAGTTAGTGAGCGAGTTAGTTACAGTCTGCCTTTATTGTTTTTATAAATAACTCAAGATGTCAAACATATCCAACATCGCTTCCAGTTCCTCCTCATGACAGCAACCTTGTGAGGTGGGTTGGACTGAGAATGTGACTGGCCTAAGGTTACCCAACCTTAGGGGGGACTAGAATTCACAGTCTCCTGGTGATTGGCCCAAAGTCACCCAAATGGCTTTAATGCCTGTAGTGGGACTAGAACTCACCCTCTCCTGGTGATTGGCCCAGAGTTACCCAGCCAGATTTCATGGCTAAGAAAGGACTAGAACTCACCCTCTCCTGGTGATTGGCCCAAAGTCACCTAGTTGGCTTTCATGGCTAAGGCAGGACTACAACTCACCATCTCCCACTGATTGGCCCAAAGTCACTTAGCCAGGTTTCATGGCTAAGGCAAGACTAGAATTCACCCTCTCCTGGTGATTGGCCCAGAGTTACCCAGCCAGATTTCATGGCTAAGGAAGGACTAGAATTCACAGTCTCCTGGTGATTGGCCCAAAATCACCCAACTGGCTTTAATGCCTAGAGTGGGACTAGAACTCACCATCTCCTAGTGATTGGCCCAGAGTTACCTAGCCAGATTTCATGCCTAAGGAAGGACTAGAACTCACCCTCTCCTGGTGATTGGCCCAAAGTCACCTAGTTGGCTTTCATGGCTAAGACAGGACTAGAACTCACCCTCTCCTGGTGATTGGCCCAGAGTTACCTAGCCAGATTTCATGGCTAAGGAAGGACTAGAACTCATCATCTCCTACTGATTGGCCCAAAGTAACCCATCAGGATTTCATGGCTAAGGCAAGACTAGAATTCACCCTCTCCTGGTGATTGGCCCAGAGTCACCCATCCGGATTTCATGCCTAAGACGGAACTAGAACTCACCGTCTCCTAGGGAGATTGTTCCACCACCACCACCCCCAATGAACTGAGCCTCAGTTAACTCAGCCAAATGTTCTGGGTTTGCCTTAGTGAGCTGGCACTGCCCCCTAAGTGAAAACGTGGCTGGTAAATCTGTGAACGGAGGCAATTAAGTTGTTTTTTGCAGAGTATCAAAGGAAGGACTCTTTTGACCAATTTCCTAACTTTTGCGATCGTCTTCCGTCTCCACCTTAGTTGTCAGCCCCGAATCGGAAATCTGGTTCCTGGACCGCGGCCTTTACTGGCACTTCCTCACCAAATCCTTCACCGCTTATTACCGGCTTCTGATCACTCATCTGGGACTCCCCCAGTGGCAGTACATCTTCACCAGCTACGGCCTCAGCCCCCAGGCCAAGGTGAGTGAGGGCAGCCGCCTCTTCAGAAGCCTTTGCTTGCACCTGGATGGACCTGCCAATCCGCCCTTGGAGGCTGAATAAAAAAAATAACAAGAGTTGGAAGGGACCTGGGAGGTCATCTAGTCCACCCCCCTGCTCAGCCAGGAGACAGTGTTCCATTTCAGACAAAGGGTTGTCTGTCCAGTCTCTTCTTAAAAACCTCCACTGACACCCACCGCTTCTGGAGGCAGGTCGTTCCACTGGTTAATTAACAGAATCACTGAGTTGGAAGGGACCTCAGAGGTCTTCTAGTCCAGCCCCCCCCCCCACTCGAGCTGGAGACCGTACACCAGTGGTTCTCAACCTTTTTAATGCCACAACCCCCAACCGGTCATAAGTCGAGGACTACTCAACTGGTGCAGCACCGTTTGCAGAATGGGACTTTTGGTGGGCTCAGCAGGGCAGAGACAGCCTGGACAATTCCTATTGGCTTTTGAAAGCCAATAGAATTAGACTCTATTCAAGGAAGTCTATTCTATTGGCTTTCAAAAGCCAATAGAATAAAAGGGAGTAGCACAGCTAAGGAAAAGGGGGAAAAAAATGGCGGACTGCGTTGTTTGGCGACCCCCGTGAAATGGTCGTTTGACCCCAAATGGGGTCCCGACCCACAGGTTGAGAACCACTGCCCTACACCCTATCAGAGAAATATCTGTCCAGTCCCTTCTTAAAAACTTGCGGTGTTGGAGCATGTTGGCCAAGTGGGCTAAAGCCAATTATCGGTAGTCCTTGACTTACAACCACTCGTTTAATGGCTGTTTGAAATTACAACAGCACAGAAAAAAGAGGAATTATGACCGTTTTTCACATTTATGACCATTGCAGCCTCCCCACAGCCACGTAACAACCGCGGCGATTCGCTTGACAGTGCTGGCAAGACAAGATGGTAAAATGGGGCAAGGCTCACATGGCCAGTGCCTTGCTTAGTGACGGAAATGTGGGGGTTCCATTGTGGTCGTGAACCACCGCATCCCAGCAGGATGGAGAACGAAGTACCAAAGAGGAGATAAATTACTAGTAAAGGAGAATCTTTGTAGCTCAGGGTTGACATGAGGGGTCCTTGGCGCCCTGTGAACTTGGTGGTTTCCTTGCGGACGTTTTACGGCCCAAACTAGGTAACGTCATCAGTGCTAGAAGGAGAAGGGTTTGCAGAGAAGTGGAGGAGGAGGAGGAGATAACTATGGGGTCCTTGGTGCCCTCTGAACTTGGTGGTTTCCTTGCAGATGTTTCATGACCCAAACTAGGTAACATCAGTGCTAGAAGGAGGGGTTTGCAGAGAAGAGGAGGAGGAGGAGATAATTGTGGGGTCCTTGGTGCCCTCTGAACTTGGTGGTTTCCTTGCAGAAGTTTCATGACCCACCTAGGTGACATCATCAGTGCTAGAAGAGAGAGAGGTGTGGAGTAGTAGTAGGAGGAGGAGAATTGTGGGGTCCTTGGTTGCTCTGAACTTGGTGGTTTTCTTGCAGACGTTTCATGACCCAACTAGGTGGCATCATCAGGGCGAGAAGAGAGTGGGGTTTGCTCTCAGTTTACACTCTGGTGCCTTGCTTGGTCAGTGTTGGTGGGGGTGGCCTTAGAGGTACTTTGGTTGAGCCATTTCCTCTTGGCTTGACTGGCGGTTCCTTGATTGGGGCATTGTTTACCTCCTGAGTGTTGGTCTGATGTTAATCTATGCTCCTCTGGGTATTGACTGCTGGTAGGGGAGTGTTTTGATCTTCCCCCCCCTTTTGGGGGGGCTTTTTAACTATTTAACTTGAACGGTATGTAGATGTTGTCTATCTCTTTGTGCCTGTTGATGGCTGCTTTGTCTGAGTGCCAGGCTTTCAGGAATTCTCTAGGCCAGTGTTTCTTTGCTGGCTGTGGAATTCTGGGAGTTGAAGTCCACATGCCTTAAAATTGTCAAGGTTGAGAAACACTGGCCTAGAGAATTCCTGAACGCCTGGCACTCAGACAAAGCAGCCATCAACAGGCACAAAGAGATAGACAACATCTACATACCATTCAAGTTAAATAGTTAAAAAGCCCCCCCAAAAAGGGGGGGAAAGATCAAAACACTCCCCTACCAGCAGTGCTGGCTGTGGAATTCTGGGAGTTGAAGTCCACATGCCTTAAAATTGTCAAGGTTGAGAAACACTGCTCTAGGCTTTTAGAACTTGGCTTGGTCACGCCTTAAAATTGTCAAGGTTGAGAAACACTGCTCTAGGCTTTTAGAACTTGGCTTGGTCACGCCTTCCCAGTTCAAACTAGGGTTGAGTCTGTCCATAAATTGTGAAATTAAAAGAGTTTTCATCTTTGAGAGTTTCCCCGCTCCTTCCTCGCACTGATGACATTACCTAGCTGGATAATGAAACGTCTGCAAGAAAACAAGCACGCTCGGAGAGCACCGAGGGAGACAAAATTAGCCGGGAATCCCGGGGGGGTCCCTTCCTCTCCTGCTCTCCCCTTCCCAAACCCCGGCTCTGACTTCCCTTTTTCTCTTCCTCGTCTTCCAGCAATGGTTCAACATGTACAAACCCATCACACTCAACACGGAGCGGCTGTCGGAAGTGGCTGACGCGTTCGTCAACAAGCTGGACCCCAATAAGGTTTTCCGCAGCAAGACCAAGATGCCCCCGGTGAAGAAGAGGTCGCCGTCCCAGCTGGCCCCCTCCCAGAAGAGCCAGACGGCCGGAGGGTCGCCCCGGAACCCTCCGCAGGGCGGGAGCTTGTCAAGAAGACGGGAAACGCAGCCTTGAGCCTCCCTCTGGATTCCCACCCACCCATCCATCCTAACCGGCCCCCCCCCTAGATGTTGCCCAGCCTCCTAGCTCCACCTGGCTCCTTCTGCTTTGCAGGACTTAAATATTTATTGCTGAATATTTATTGCCACAGACTTGAAGCCCTGCCTGATTTTTTTTGGGGGGGGGAGGCACACCTGCAACTCTTCCAAAAGACAAAGGGGGGGGGAAGGGGGTGTTTTTAATGCACTCGTTCTCTTATCCCGGGTTTGCACAGAACTGTTCCCACACCTATCGCAAGGCTAATTACTTGCTTCTTCCCCCCTGCTCTCCCTCTTTCCTTTTTTCTCTTCCATCTCTCCCTACCTCCTTCTATCCCTTCCTTTTTCCTTCTTCCTCTCTCCCTCCCCCTTCCTCATTTTCCTTCCTTCCATGCTCTCTTCCTTTCTTTCCCTTCTTCCTTCTATCCATCCTCTCCCTCCCACCCTCTTTCTCAACTTCCTTCTCTCTCATCCTCCCTCCTTCCTTCCTTTTCCCTTCCCTCCCTCCTTCCTTCCTTTCTCCTTCCCCCTTCTTCCCTTTCTTTCCTTTGCTCCGCCCTCCCTCCCTTTCTTTCCTTCTTCCCCCGCTTTCCCTCCTTCCTTTTTTCCCATCTCTCCCTACCTCCTTCCATCCCTTCCTTTTTCCTTCTTCCTCTCTCCCTCCCCCTTCCTCATTTTCCTTCCTTCCATACTCCCTCTCTTCCTTTCTTTCCCTTCTTCCTTCTATCCATCCTCCCCTCTCCCTCCCACCCTCTCTTTCTAAACTTTCTTCCTTCTCTCTCACCCTCCCTCCTTCCTTCCTTTTCCCTTCCCTACCTCCTTCCTTCCTTTCTCCCTCCCCCTTCCTCCCCTTCTTCCCTTTTTTCCTTTCTTTCTTTGTTCCACCCTCCCTCCCTTTCTTTCCTTCTTCCCCGCTTTCCCTCCTTCCTTTTTTCCCTTCCATCTCTCCCTACCTCCTTCCATCCCTTCCTTTTTCCTTCTTCCTCTCTCCCTCCCCTTCCTCATTTTCCTTCCTTCCATGCTCCCTCTCTTCCTTTCTTTCCCTTCTTCTATCCATCCTCCCCCCACCCTCACTTTCTCACTCAACTTCCTTCTCTCTCGCCCTCCCTCCTTTTTGCTTCCTTCCCTCCCTTCCTCCTTCCTTCCTTTCTCCCTCTCCCTTCCCCCTTCTTTCTTTCCTTCTTCCCATCCTCCCTCCCTTTCTTTCTTTCCTTCATTCCATCCTCCCTCCCTCCCTTTCTTTCCTTCCATCTTCCCTCCCTCCCTCCCTCCCTCCCTGGAAATACATCCCTGGTGAACTCATAAGGCACCATTCCCCAACCTGGCACCCTTCAAAGCTCTTTAACTGCAACTCTCAAGAGTACCCCAGCCAGGTGGTCCAACTATATGGGATGAGAAGTTACAGAGGTTGCAGCCTGCTGGGGAAGATGGTCCCAGTAGTAGAGAAAAGCCATCTCCTTGCTTCCAGGCCTGGGTTCCAAAGAAAAGGTGATGAATTTAGGAAGATCTCAGCTGGTTTCTGACCAGAAATGGACAGGGATGGATTCTCCTTAGAACATGGACACCTATTCTTGTCTCCACCACTGGTCTTAAACAGGTAGATTTATTTTTTCCAAGTCTCTTTCTCGGGTGTCCATTGTCCTCCCTGATCAAAGCTGGTCTGCACGTCTTCCAGGACGGTGGACAGCTGTCTCCAAGTTGAGCAAGAGAACTGTTCCTAGTGCAGCCCCCATAGGAGCTGATCAGTTCCATCTTTCTCCTGTCTTCCCCAAAGGATCTCCTGTGTTCCTTGAGGACCAGGAAGGAAAGCATGTTCAGATGTTCAAAGAACATAATCCTTTCAAAGCAGCCCTCCCCGGTCACATGGGAGACGTCAACTCGGCCTCCGGGTCTTGCTTTGAAGGTTCTGGATCTGAGGGAGAGCGATTGTGGAAGTCTATCAGGATGTTGTAGATGAACATCCCAACAAGGCATCCAAGGGTTGGGGCCACCATCGGCACCCACCACCAGCAGTTGCCTGCTCTGAAAGAAGAAGGAAGTCCAGATTAGCAGTAGACCCTAAGCCAGGATATCTTGGCCACTTGGAGATAGGTGGACTTCAACTCCCAGACTTCCCCAGCTAGATAACTGGAGAATTCTGGGAGTTGAAGTCCACACACTGAAATCCACACAGGTCTCAACATTAAAGTCCACACATGTGTCTCAACCTTGGCCACTTGAAGGTGTGTGGACTTCAACGCCCAGAATTCTCCAGCCAGCATGGCTAGCTGGGGAATTCTGGGCGTTGAAGTCCATACATGTGTCTCAACCGTCATCACTTGAGGGTGTGTGGACTTCAAATCCCAGAATTCCCCAGCCAGCATGGTAGCTGGGGAATTCTGGGAGTTGAAGTCCACACATTGAAATCTACACGAGTCTCCACCTTAAAGTCCACACATGTGTCTCAACCTTGGTCACTTGAGGTTGTGTGGACTTCAATTCCCAGAATTCCCCAGCTAGCATGGCTAGCTGGAGAATTCTGGGAGTTGAAGTCCAGACCTCTTCAAGCAACCAAAGTTGAGACACACTGCCTTCAGCCATGACTTCTGCAGTATTGGTTAGCTTTCTTCTGCTCCAAAATTAGATAAAGTCATGGTTCCTAGCTGGCCCAAGGCATTGTGGGAATCCATTTTTAATCCTGTAATAAATTGGAAGGTTAGTTTGATTTGAAAAATTGCCTGGACCCACAGAAGGTTGAGCCCCACTCCTGGCAATTGGTGGACATTTTTTTATATATTTAACTTATTTATTTAAAAGATGTATATATGACCAGCCACAGCAACTCTGATTATAAAACCTAGAGCTATCAAACTATCAGAAAGTAGTAAGAACAATAAAATAGGTTGCCAGTATTTTCTCTCAGTTTTTTTTAAAAAAAAAAAAAAAATACATATCTGAAACATCCAATCTAGGAGAAATTTCCTGACAGTCAGAACAATGAATCAGTGGAACAACCAGCCTGCAGAAGTTGTGAGTGCTCCATCGCTGGAGGTTTTTAAGAAAAGATTGGACAGCCATGTGTCTGGAATGGTATAAGTTCTCCTGCCTGAGCAGGGGGTTGGACTAGAAGACCTCCAAGGTCCCTTCCAACTCTGTTACGCTGTAAAGTTTATTGCTCCAAAATGATAACCACCAGAAGTGAGCAATTACAAATATACGCCCTTATGACCACAATTCAGCCCCAAATTTTTCCTGCTAAGTGAAGACAATTGGTAAGTGAGTTTTGCCCCCATTTCACAACCTTTCTTGCCCTAGTTGTTAAGCGAATCACTGCAGCTGTTATGTTAGTAACAGGGCTGTTAAGCTTCCCCATTGACTCTGCTTGTCAGGAGGTCACAAAGGATGATCATGTGACCAACTTAACCAACTGCCCTGATTCACTTAACAACAGTGGCAAGAAAAGTCGTAAAATTGGGGCAAAAACTCAACAAGTGTTTCACTTAACAATGGAAATGTTAGCCTCGATTGCGATCGTAAGTTGAGAACTACCTGTAATGTAAGATGGCAGAAGTTCTACCAGGCCAGACGGTGGGATAGTCCTTCTCATCGGTAAACTAAATCGGTGCCACCAACTCACCGGAACACCTCTAGCCCCCATCCAGCGAGAGCAGTGAAAATCCGCGGGGGGAGATCCCTGGAAGGGTTGATGGCATAGCCGGTGTTCATCCCCATGGACATGCCGATGACCACCACCAACAGCCCGGTGATGAAGGCATTGGTGCCTGGCAGTGCCCTGGCGTTCTTCATATCGTGGATGGCGAGGACACCGATCATCAGCAGGCTGCTTGCAATAACCTGCGGAAGAGAGGGATGGGCGTCAAGGCTCAAGACGATCAAAGGGCAGGGCGGGACCCTGTAGAATATTTGTAGCTCAGCCTTGAACGGTGGAGGCCTTGGTGCTCTCTGAACTGGGTGGTTTTCTTGCAGACATCTCATGAAAAGACTAGGTAACCTCATCAGGGCTAGAAGGGAGGAGGAGGAGGAGGAGGAGGAGGAGGAGGAGGAGGAGGAGGAGGAGGAGAAGGAAGAAGAGGAAGAAGAAGAAGAAGAAGAAGAAGAAGAAGAAGAAGAAGAAGAAGAAGAAGAAGAAGAAGAAGAAGAAGAAGAAGAAGAAGAAGAAGAAGAAGAAGAAGAACCATTTGGGTGAGAAATGTCAAATTTACACAAGCACAGAACTTAAGGGAGAATTTTTATAAAATGTTTTATAGATGGCACCTTGATCCACAAAAAATGTCTCTTATGTACCCTGACTTACAACCTAAATGTTGGAGATGTGGTTGTATGGACGCTACTTAGTATCATATTTGGTGGTCGTGCAGAGAGATAAAAGCATTTTGGATTAAGATATGGTGGAATATCCAGAGAATTTTTAGAAGGAGGGTAAAATTTACTCCGCAATTATTTTTGTTGGGTATAGTTACTGATTGTGATACAAAGGAGGTTATATTGATGTTAAATTTGATTACAGCCGCGAAGCTGTTAGTAGGACAATATTGGAAGAAGGAATCTTTGCCTACATTGCAGGAATGGTTTCTTAAAGTCTCTTATTTGGCGGAAATGGCAAAGATTTCGGCTTTTTTAAAGGAACAAACGCAAGAGAAATTTCTTGCTGTTTGGGATAAATGGATAAAATTTATACAATTTAAATTGGATATAAAAAAATATCATATAGCCTTTTCATAATTTTTATTTTTATATATATACATATATATGTTAATGTTATTTTTTTTTCTTTCTTTCTTTTTATAAATATAATTTTTTAACTGTTTTTTAATTAAGCCTATATCCTGCTCTGGGAAGCTCAGGGGGGGGAAGGGGGGGGTGTTTGGGTGGGGGTGGGGGGAGGGGGTTTTTGTTGTGTAATGTTTAGGTTTTTTTTCTCTTTGTATATGTGTTTTTTGTTATTGTATTGTTTTGTTCTTTTTGTAAAATTTATAAAACTTTTTAATAAAAAAAAAAAGAAGAAGAAGAAGAAGAAGAAGAAGAAGAAGAAGAGGAAGAGGAAGAGGAAGAGGAAGAGGAAGAGGAAGAAGACAACGACAATGGGGTCCTGGATGCTCTCTGAGCTGCCTGATTTTCTTGTAGATGTCTCATGAAACAACTAGGTAACCTCATCAAGGCTAGAAGAGAGGAGGAGGAGGAGGAGAGGTATGAAGGTTCAGGATGATCAAAGGGTAAGGTGTGACCCTAAAGAATCTTTGTAGCTCAGCCCTGAACTGTGGGGTCCTGGGTGCTCTCTGAGCTGGTGTGCTTTTCTTGCATACATTTCATAACCCAGCTAGGTACCTTCATCAGTGCTAGAAGGGGGTGGGGTTTGTGGGAGAAGAGGAGATTGTGGGGTCCTGGGTGCTCTCTGAGCTTGCTTGTTTTCTTGCAGATTTTTCATGACCCAACTAGGTAACTTCATCAGTGCTAGAAGAGAGTGGGTTTGCAGGAAGGAAGAGGAAAATGACCGTGAAGTCCTGGGTGCTCTCTGAGCTTTGTGGTTTTCTTGCAGCTGTTTCATGACCCAACTAGGTAACATCAGTTTTAGAAGGGAGTGGGGTGTGTGGAGCAGAGGAAGGGAGGAAGGAGGCGGACCGTGGGGTCCTTGGTGCTCTCTGAGCTTGGTTGTTTTCTTGCAGTCATTTCATTATCCAACTAGATCAGTGATTCTCAATCTTTTTAATACCGCGACCCCCAACCGGTCGTAAGTCGAGGACTACTCAACTGGTGCAGCACCGTTTGCAGAATGGGACTTTTGGCGGGCTCAGCAGGGCAGAGACAGCCTGGACAATTCCTATTGGCTTTTGAAAGCCAATAGAATTAGACTCTATTCAAGAGAGTCTATTCTATTGGCTTTCAAAAGCCAATAGAATAAAAGGGAGTAGCACATCTAAGGAAAAGGGGGAAAAAAATGGCGGACTGCGTTGTTTGGCAACCCCGTGAAATGGTCGTTCGACCCCAACCACTGAACTAGATCATATCAGTATTAAAACGGACTGGAGTTTGCTTCTTGTATATACACAGTAGCCTATTATTGTATATGAACAAAGAGCAAACCTCACTCCCTTCTAGCACTGATGAGTGTTATCTAGTTGGGTCATGATATGCCTGCAAGAAAACAACCAAGCTCGGAGAGCACAAAGACCCCACAGTAGGGTGTGTTTAGCCCGCAGAAGCGAAGATTTAAGGAAGGAACGAAAACAGTCTTCTTTCTGCCATCACTTCCATGAGGGATGACTTCAGGACTCCCCATTCCAGCCTGTAGCCTTGGGATTTTCCTGGTGGTTCTTATCCCAGCAGTACTGAAGCTCAAACTCACTTTTTTTTCCCCCAAATCTAAACCACCTTAACAAAAACACTAACTCCTGCAGAAACCCGTTCCACAGAGACACATAAGGAGCAGGATAGGTGGCAAAGATCCCTGCGGTGGCTTGCCGGTCCCGTCACCGTCAGGTTCCCTCCTGTGTAGTTCTGTAGTGCTTCTAAAAGGGAAGAAGGAAGCAAGTCTTTGGAGAGCAACGTAAAAGACGAAGGTTTTTTTTTAAAAAAAACAGGTAGTCCTTCCAACCCTTTGTTTAGTGGCCATTCAGTGCAACAGTACTGCAAAAGTGACTTAGGATGCTTTTTCACAGTTAACGATCATTGCAGCAGCATCCCCACGGTCACCTGATCAAATGTCAAGTGTGTCAACGCTGCTAACATTGGATGTTCTTGCTTTGACAACATTGAAGGTGCAGCCTTTTTCTTTCTCATATGCTTTACTCTTAGAATTAGATGATGCTGGGGGAGGGGGAGGAATGTGATGGGAGTTAGTTAGACATAACAATATTGTAATAGTGTGTGGTGTGTGCTAAGGAAGGGGAATCTGTGTAAGTGCCAAGTGTTGCTGCGCGAATAAAGACTCTTTAAACAATGCCTCAAAGTTCTTTGAAGAGTTTCATATGTTGGAGCATAACATTAAACAAAATCTGGATTCCCCTCCCTGAGCACATAGTATAAAAGACAATTCCCTCCTCTAATTAAACCGTCATAAATCACATTCTCCAATTAGTTTGAAATGCAGGCTTTCCCTTCTGTTCTCCACCCGCCATTCCTTATCGTCTCTTATTTCAAAAGCTCGAATGCACACACTATTACAATATTGTTATGTCTAACTAACTCCATCACATTCCTCCACCTCCCCCAGTATCATCTAATTCTAAGAGTAAAGCATAAGAAAGAAAAAGGCTGCACCTCCATATGTTGTCAAAGCAAGAACATCCAATGTTAGCAGCATTGACAAAGTGCTGATTCATATTTATGATGGTTTGCAGCGATCCCACCAGGGTCCCATGATCCACTTTGGCGACCGTCCGACAAGCAAAGGCAGTGGGGAAGCCAGATTCACCTCAACAACGATTGTACTGTCTAAGACAGTGGTTCTCAACCTGTGGGTCGGGACCCCATTTGGGGTTGAACGACCATTTCACGGGGGTCGCCAAACAACGCAATCCGCCATTTTTCCCCCCTTTTCCTTAGCTGTGCTACTCCCTTTTATTCTATTGGCTTTGAAAGCCAATAGAATAGACTCTTTTGAATAAGTCTAATTCTATTGGCTTTCAAAAGCCAATAGGAATTGTCCAGCTGTCTCTGCCCTGCTGAGCCCGCCAAAAGTCCATTCTGCAAATGGTGCTGCACCAGTGAGTAGTCTCGACTTACGACCGGTTGAGTAGTCCTCGACTTACGACCAGTTGGGGGTCGCGGCATTAAAAAGGTTGAGAACCACTGGTCTAAGAGGTGCAGTGATTCGCTTAATGACCGTGACAAGAAAGGTCGTAAAATGGGGCAAAATTCATTTAACATTGTCTTACTTGGCAGCAGAAGTTGTGGTCGTTAAGTCAAGGACTACCTGTATTCTCAAGGCAGGCCAGTTGCGGGTGGGGGGAGGGGCTAATTTCTGCCATCATCTCCATGAGGAATGACTTCACGACTCCCCATTTCCAACCTGTAGCCTTGGATTTCCTAGTGTCCTCTTTCCCAGCAATACTGAGGCTCAAATTTACTTTTTTTTTCAATTCTAAACCACTTAACAAAATGAAATTCAATGGTGAAAAAAGTAAGGTTCTACATTAGGAAAGAAAAACCAAATGTACAGGTATAGTATAGGGGATACCTTGCTCAACAGTAGTAACTGTGAGAGGGACCTCAGAGTCCTAGTGGACAATCACTTAGATATGAGCAGCGTGTGCTGCAGCTGCCAAAAAGGCCAACACAGTGCTAGGCTGCATTAACAGAGGTATAGAATCAAGATCATGTGAAGTGTTAATACCACTTTACAATGTCTTGGTAAGGCCCACACTTGGAATCTGCATCCAGTTTTGGTCACCACAATGTAAAAAAAGATCTTGAGGCTCTAGAAAGAGTGCAGAGAAGAGCAACAAAGATGATCAGGGGACTGGAGGCTAAAACATACAAGGAACAGTTGCTGGAATTGGGTATGTCTAGTTTAATGAAGGACGGGGGGGGGGCATGATAGCAGTGTTCCAATATCTCAGAGGCTGCCACAAAGAAGAGGGAGTCAAACTATTCTCCAAAGCACCTGAAGGCAGGACAAGATCCAACACTGGAAGTTTTTAAGAAGAGATTGGACAGCCATTTGTCTGAAAATGGTATAGGTTTCCCATCTGAGCAGGGTTGGACTAGATGACCTCCAAGGCTCCTTCCAACTTTATTTTTTATTTATTTATTTATTTATTTATGAGACTTATATACGCTTTAAGTGCAAGCACTCTCTAAGCGGTGTACACCAGTAAGCAATGAATATATATATTTTACATTGCCCCCAACAATCTGGGTCCTCATTTTACCTACCTTGGAAGGATGGAAGGCTGAGTCAACATGAGCCGGTGAGATTTGAACCGCTGATCTGTTGAACACAGTCAGCTAAAGTGGGCCTGCAGTACTGCACTCTAACTGCTGCGCGCCACCTCAGCTCATTATTATTATTATTATTATTATTATTAGTGTAGTAGTAGTAGTAGTAGTAGTAGTAGTAGTAGTAGTAGTAGTAGTAGTAGTACTGTCCCTATTTGGGGCTTGTTAAGGAGGCGATGAGCACTAAGAGAATTTGCCTTTAATTTTTCCTTTCCTGCTGGCCTTTTCATATTCTGTATCTCCGCTTCAAAACCAGCAGACATTATCTCAGTACTCATGCCAAAAAATATAAATAGAGACTTGCAGTTTGGCATGGAGGACATCCAGTGGGCGTGATAATCATTTCAGAAATGTGGAAAATGTAATTTTAGCCGCTTAATAGATTTCTTAAGAATGATTAGGTGGGTGGAGGCTAAAACATACAAAGAACAGTTTTAGGTATTGGGTATGTCTAGTTTAATGAAAAGAGGACTACCTGTAATATGATCTCTGCTGCTTGCTGGTTTCCTAGCAAATGATGGCCTCTTTGGGGATTAGACCGACAGTCTCGTCCTTCAAGAGGCTTCCAAGGAACAATCACCAGGGCTATCATGGCCCAAGCAGGGACTCTACCAGTCTCATGAGGTTAATTGAAATCCCCATCATTGAAGGAGAATATTTATAGCTCAGGGGTGAAGTGAGAGGTCCTGGTGCTCTCTGAGCTTGGTTGTGTGTGTGTGAGGGAGAAGGAGCAGGAGCAGGAGATGGAGGAAGAAGGAGACCGCGGAGGTGTGTCCTTGGTGCTCTCTGAGCTCGCTTTTTTCTGCAGATATTTTATGACCCAACTAGGTAACTTCATCAGTGCTAGAATGGAGTGGGGTTTGTCAGGAAGGGGGGGAGGAGGAGGAGGAGAACTTGGGGGTCCTTGGTGCTCTCTGAGCTTGCTTGTTTTCTTGCAGATGTTACCCTAATTAGCTGATATCACCAGTGTAGACTATCCTGATGATGTCCCTAGTTTGGTAATGAACGTCTGCAAGAGAACAAGCGAGCTCGGACAGCACCAAAAGCTCCCCAATCATTAAACGCAAGATGGCATTATACAATGAGACTGCAGTGGTTCAAAACGAAGAGAAAGCTGCACATCTGTAATCAGAGATGTATCCTTACAGGATGGCCTCCTCCTCCTCCTCCTTGCTCCCAGCACAGAAATGTAGACCTTTTTCCGATAAGGGAAGGGTGTCCAATCTTGGCAACTTTTAACACTTGTGGACTTCAACTCCCACATGGCTGGCTGGGGAATTCTGGGAGCTGAAGTCCACAAGTCTTAAAGTTGCCAAGGTTGGATGCCCCTGAGATAAAGAGAGTCTAGATCAGTGGTTCTCAACTTTTAATGCCGCGACCCCAACCGGTCGTAAGTCGAGGACCACTCAACCAGTCGTAAGTCGAGGACTACTCAACCGGTCGTAAGTCGAGGACTACTCAACTGGTGCAGCACCGTTTGCAGAATGGGACTTTTGGCGGGCTCAGCAGGGCAGAGACAGCCTGGACAATTCCTATTGGCTTTCGAAAGCCAATAGAATTAGAACTATTCAAGAGAGTCTATTCTATTGGCTTTCAAAAGCCAATAGAATAAAATGGAGTAGCACAGCTAAGGAAAAGGGGGAAAAAAATGGCGGACTGCGTTGTTGGCAACCCCCGTGAAATGGTCGTTCGACCCCAAATGGGGTCCCGACCCACAGGTTGAGAACCACCGGTCTAAGATAGTCCTCAACTTACAACCGTGCATTTAGTGACTGATCCCCTTTTGCGACCTTTGGACACACAAAGGCCAATGGGGAAGCCAGATTCATTTAATAACCGTGTGACCACATCGGCATCTGCCATGATTCGCTTAACAACTGCGGCAGAAAGGTCATAAAACGGGACAAAACTCACTTCACAAATGTCTCTCTTAGCCACAGAAATATTGGGCTTGATTGCGGTCGTAAGTCGAGGACTCCCTGTAATTGTTTGTTTTTTTTTTCCTCTCCTGAGAACAAAGGAGGATTTGCACATACCATAATATAAAGCAAAAATAACAGCCGATGCGGCGAAGGATCCAAAGAACTGGCCAATGACGTATGCCGGGAGTTTGCGCCAGAGTAGATTTCCTACCACACAGTTGGCGAAACTGATGGACGCATTCATGTGAGCACCTGGTGGCGACAAGACAACAGGAGAAAACGATTGGGACAGTAGCAGGAAGAGGAACAGCAACCTGCTGGCTTACTAGAACTAGCCACCATCCACATCATTGCGCAATAAAATGTCAGGAAATCTCAGTTCCAAGGCTGCTCTTTCAAGAGGCAAGTGGACTTTCTTGTTTTCCTTTGAAGACGCTTTACTTCTCATCCAAGAAGCTGCTTCAGCTCTGACTGGATGGTGAGGAATGGAAGGATTTATAATCTTTGCAGACAGCTGGTCATTTGCATTTTTAGAGAGTCATTGAGACCCCTTGGAGGTTTGCTGTGTCCTCAGGGTCACCTGAGAAGTGGGAAATGGGTGTGGAGCCTTCTTGGCTGCAGGAGTTTTCTGCCCTGGGTGCCTTCGCACTCATTTGGTGGGAATGAAAGGATTTGCACTCCTTGCAGACAGCTGGTCATTTGCATTCTTTTAGAGAGTCGTTGAGGCCACCTGGAGGTTATCTGTCCTCAGGGTCACCTGAGTGGTGTAAATGAATGTGAAGGGACCCAGGGCTGAAAACATCCTGTAGTCAAGAAAGCTCACACTCATCTGCACTACTCAGGTGACCCTGATGACACGATAAACCTCCAGGTGGCCTCAACGACTCCCTAAAAGGATTTAGTCCTTGCAGACAGCTGGTCATTTGCATTCTTTTAGAGAGTCGTTGAGGCCACCTGGAGGTTTATCTGTGTCCTCAAGGTCACCTGTTTAATGCAAATGGGTGTGAAAGGACCCAGGGCAGAAAACATCCTGCAGCCAAAAAGGCTCCACACCCATTTCCATCTCAGGTGACCCTGAGGACACAGATAAACTTCCAAGTGGCCTCAACAATTCTCTAAAAGAAAGCAAATGACCAGCTGTCTGCAAGGAGTATAAATCCTTCCATTCCCCACCATCCAATCAGAGCTGAAGAAGCTTGTTGGATGAGAAGCAAAACATCTTCAAAGGAAAACAAGAAAATCTAGTTGCCTCTTGAAAAAGCTCTCCTGGAACAACCATGACCTGGATGACAAAGAACCTCCATAGACACGATATCTCAGCTTATGTTGAAACCCACATTAGGGAAAGTGGTAGGAATAATATTCAACAAAAGGATCCACCCTCTATCATGTCGTCTGGGCGCAGTGCAGATCGCCAAAGGTCCTTTTTTTAACAACAGGTGAAGGAAAAACTTTGCACTGTCTAGAAGAGTGCTTCTCAGCCTTGACAACTTGAAAATGGGTGGACTTCACTTCCCAGGATACATCAGCCAGTGTCCAAGAACTTGTCAAGGTTGAGAAACACTGAGCCTCGTGGCTTGAGAACTCTGGGAGTTGTAGTTTCAAGATGGGTTGTGAAGGACACTATAAAAGAAAATATTTGCAATTCAGGGTTGAACTGTCGAGTCCTTGGTGCTCTCTGAGCTTGGTGGTATTCATGGAGATGTTTCATGACCCAATTAGGTAGCATCATCAGTACTAGAAGGGTGAGGGGCTTGGGGGGGAGGAGGAGGACAAGTAGGTTGAGGACAACGACAACTATAGGGTCCTTGGTGCTCTCTTGGTGGTTTTCATGCAGATGTTTCATGACCCACTAGGTAGTATCAATATCAGTCTTCCAATATCTCAGGGGCTGCCACAAAGAACAGGGAGTCAAGCTATTCTCCAAAGCACCTGAAGGCAGGACAAGAAGCAACAGATGGAAACTAACCAAAGAGAGAGGCAACCTAGAACCAAGGAGAAATTCCCTGACAGTGAGAACAATTA